GTGTGCTCGCCCGGGGAGAGGGGCGTGCAGCTGCGGTGCTGCAGGCAGGGCGCTGGGGGACGAGCCACCGACGAGGGGAGCAGTCACCATGTGACCCTGAAACCCTACCACCCCAGCTGTGGGGCTGGGCCTCCACGACCCGACCTGGGGCAGGCCCTGGGGTTCAGAAACCCCGGCCCCGCAGGCGCCCCCCGTCAGCACACCTGGGAGCCCGGGGGGACATCACTGTGCACACACAGTCCCCACACATTCTGTGTGGCCAGGGCGTCCGTCCCCAGAGCCTTGGTTTCCCCTCGAGCTTGAAGTTGGTGACTCAGGCGCCCAGAGACCTGCAAGGGCACTGCTGGCACGGCCAGAGCTCCGGGACCCCCGCAAGCCCTCCACAGAAGGCAGCCACACCCCTAGCTGAGCCGGAGCCCCCACTAGCCAGGCACAGCAGGGACCAGCAGCCCCTCCCGACCCCTCAGGGTCCGAAGCTGCCTCCCCTCCAATCCCTCCTCACAGCCTCAGCCAGGCTCCCTGCAGGGGCTGACGTGGGGGCTGAGTGTGAGCCGCGGGGCCATGGCGAGGGGCACTCCAGAGGCCTGAGGCGGCCCCGCTTGGCAGCGGCTTTGCCTGTGCCACCCTCCCGGCCCCAGTACACCAGCCCATCCACCCTCTCCCTTCTGCTTCTCAGAGGCTGCTGGGGGCGGGGGTCCTGCGTTTCTGGAGCTCAGAGCCACAAACCCTTCCTCCTCTGGGCTCTTTCATGCCACGGCCCCTCCCCGAGAGCAAACACACGTGGCTGACGTGGGGAGAGGACTGCGCCCTGCGTGGCCCAGGAGCCGGGCGCAGGGCCAAGGCTTCCTGCTACATAAGCCCCAGCGCCCTCAGGGGAGCGAGCACCGGGCCCCACTCCCGCCTCGCCGCCCGCCCACCGCCGTGCCAGCCCCTAGGATGGGCGCCCCGAGTGGGTGCCGAGCGCCAGTGTGGGCCCTCGCGGCCCTGCTCTTGGTGCAGAAGGCAGGTAAGGTGGAAGCCCCTCACTCCACCTCTGCAGTGGGGGTGGCCTCCACAGACCACCCGCCTGAGTTTCTCCTGCCCGTGATGGACGTGGGCCCCCCTTGGGGCCCTGCGTCGCATCCCGGACACCCAGCCCCTGGGTGCTCAGCCTGTGCTGGGAGAAGTTGGGTCCCCTGGGGCAACCGAGGGTCTTGGCCTCGGTTGGGACGGAGCAGGCACTGGGTGAGGAGCCTAGGCTGGGGGTCTCTCTGGTCCCCGAGAGGCAGCCACAGCAGGGTGGGCAGGGACAGCACAGTCGCCCGGCCAGCCGGGGGCTGCACCTTCTGCTCTAGGCCCTCTGAGGCCGGCCTGGGGGAACAGCCATCAGGGCGGCTCTGAAACGCCTCCTGGAGTAAGGCTGGAATGGGGCAGACAGCGAAGGGCCCCACCCAGGAGCAGGGACCATCTGAACACACTCTGTTCCTGGGGCCACACCTGCCCCGCGGCCTTTCTCGCCCGCCGTCCCGCTGGCCAGCGGCACCCCGCGGCCCGGGGAAGCACCTTGAGCCCTGACGCTTACTGTCAACACGCAAGGTGCTGTCCCTGGGCTGCCGCCCACACCCGGGGAGCTGGCCTGCAGCCCGGGCCTTCAGAGGCCACCCACAGTCCGCTCCTGCAGGCCCTCCAGGCGCCTCACCTGAGCTGAGTTCTGGGCAGGTGGGGCCAGCCTGAGGCTCCCTTTACCTGTGAAAGTGAGGGGATGAAGCGGGAGGGTTGTCTCCCAAAACCCCTGCCCCAGGCCCCCTTTCTCAGGGGAGTGAGCAGGGCTCGTGGGGGCTTTCCCCTAGCAGCTCCTGGCTGGGGGTCCCTGCACTGAGGCAGTTCCCGTGGAAACAGGGCCCTTCGGGAGAAGAGACCCTGCCCGCCTGAAACCCCGTGGTTTCTCGACCGTGGGGTGGGGCCGACAGCTGCGGAGCAGCTGTGCTTCTGGGAACTGCAGGCAAGCAGGGCCCTGGGGAGGGGAGACAAACGCGGCTGGCCCCGTGGTTTCCAAGTGTCGGCGTCCCGGCTGGAAAAGTCGAAGAGAGCAGAGCCCACTGTGACCGCTACAGAGATGGGCACAGCACCCATCGCCGGCCCCACCAGGGACACGGGCACCTCTGGGGCTTCACCTCCCGCTCCCCACGAAGCACAGGCTTGGGCTGAGCGTGGAGATACGCCCCCACTGCAGACATGAGGAAAGAATTCTGAGACCATGTGAACGGGGGCACCCCAGGCTTAGCCTGGTGGAGAGGGGCCTGGAGAGGCGCTCAGGCCTGTCCACTGAGGCAGCGGGACACTGGAGAGGTGCGCCTGGTGGATGAGGCCCTGCCAGGAGGTGGGGGGCACACAGGTGGCCTCTGGGGACCGTGCCAGCACCAGGGCCTCCAGGCCTCCCGCGTGCCTTGGAGGGTGATTCTAGGCGGAGCTGCTGTGTCTTGGGTTTCTGCTAAGTCACTCTGGGGATCCTCCCCAACTGTGTGCGTCTTTGTCCCCAACAAAGTGAGCCTTTGTCCTTTTCCGAGGGCCGTGTGGGAAGGGGTCGAACATTCTCCCTGGGGTGGCCTGGGTCAACGAGACCAACAGTGTCAACAATTTCAGTCCCCTGCTCTGAGCCACAGTGAGATGGGGTGTAGATGGGGGAGGGTGGGGGTCAGCTCCCCACGGGACCTGCCATCCCGACAGCAGGGTCCACGTGGCTGCCATCCTGCGGGCCACGGACACCCCTGAGCCACTGAGGGAGGGGTGGCCAACGTCTGGCTGCTCATGGCCTCCCACTCCCTTTTCCCGCAGAGACCTGGCACAGCCTGGAGCAGAGCGTAGACAGAGCCGAGCCTGTCGTGTACAGCCCGCGGGTGCACGGGGGTATGGCCCAGGCTGGGGGAGGAAGGGCCCTGGGAGCCGAGCAGGGGTGGGGGGCAGACCCCTTCGCATGTCAGCTACACAGGGACCACCCCTGGATTCCACGGGAGGGGACAGTGGACGGGGCCAAAGAACACAAAGGCACAGAGCAAAGAGGCTCAAATGCTCACACGCGCTCACGCACGTGATCACACACGTTCACACCCACACGCTTGTGCTTGTGTTTGCCCATCACTCTCTCTCACATGTGCACACTCACACATTCAGGAACACACTCATACAGGGCCCCAGTCACACGTATGCACACCACATACACAATCAGGGTAACACGGACCTGGGAAGGGCTGTGTCCAGGGTGGACAGGAAGGGTCCCAGAGGGGACAGCGTTAGCCCTGGGGCTCCCTGGGCAGGGTCAGGGCTGGCCTGCAGCTCCCTGCGGCACCAGGGTGGCCAGTGAGGAGGACAGGGGTCTGGGGAAGGGGTGTCCCGGCTGGTCCTTGCCTGGCCACATCCCTGGTGTGACCGGGCCCTCACTCCGCAGCCCAGCGCGTGGCCTTCCTCATACCCATCGCTGTCTTCCCCACCATGAGCTGTAAGTGGACGCCAGGGCAGGGGTGCTCACAGCCCGGGGGGGTAAAGCTGGCATGGGGGTGGGGCAGCCAGCAGCTGGACGGCTCTGAGCATGGCTGGGAGCCTTCTCGGTGGGTAGCTCTCCTGGTGGCTGACCCCAGGTGCTGTGGCAGGGGGCAGGGCCGTTGGGGTCTCGGGAAGAATTAGGAACAGGGGGAGCGAGGAGGGGCGCAGGGGCTCCCCGCCCCCAACCCGGGGGCTTCGTCCCAGGGAAGGCTGCCCTCTCCTGACCCTGCGCTCCCCGCAGCCCTGAATGCGGCGCACAGTGGGCGGGTGTGCAGCACCTGGGGCGACTCCCACTACAAGACCTTCGACGGCCACCTCTTCCGCTTCCCCGGCCTGTGCAACTACGTCTTCTCCGCGCACTGCGGGGCCGCTTACGAGGACTTCAACATCCAGCTCCGCCGTGGCCTCGTGGGCTCCAGGCCCATCATCACCCACATCGTCCTCAGGACGCAGGGGCTGGTGCTGGAGATCGCCAACGGCTCTGTCCTCATCGACGGGCGGCGGTGAGCCCAGCTCCGGGGCGCAGAGGGGCCTGGGCTCCGGGCGGCTCGGGGCGGGGCGGGCGCCAGACCTGAGGGGGGATCGGGAACTCT